CCTCTCCTTTTTTCCTGTTTTGTTTTGTGGGTTTTTTTTGTTCTTTGCTCTTCCCAGAGGAAGACAGGGATAATAAAATTTTCTATTTTCATTTAGCTTTCCAGATGATCTTTGTGTACTTTACTAGACTGCAGCATAGAAAACAAAGCCTTGTTTATTGCCTAACAGCATATATGTGTTTTATGATTAATGTGATGTTTGTAATACATGGGACTGATAATAGATAGGGACATCAAAGTCTTCTGTGAATTGACAGCAGCACTATAAACAAGGTGAAAGGGTTGCAGGTGTTTCCCACACGGGTGTTACACAAAAACATATGGCCCTTTGCCATGATGTACTGCGTGCACACTCCATCTTTTCATGCGCAGCAAGGCAGTGTTGCTGTGAGCTTTGCTCAGAGAGCATGTCCATGGCTCAGGACCTGGGGGACGCTGTCGGCAGCAGATGACCGTGCACTGTGACCAGAGCGATCTTGGGGGCACAGAAAGGATAATGCTAAATTTGTCCTTCAATTAAAAGTAGCTGATTGATCCGCTACATCGCCTGAGAGCAGAAATCTGCATTCCTGGGGGGGGTGGTGGTGGTGTCCCTGGCAAACGTTAGAATGGGAGATGGCATGCTTGGGTGTTGCAGGAGGGACGAGGCAGTCCAACCTACCTCTTGTCTCACTGCTTCTACCTCAGCTCATGGTTGGGCTCAGCAGCTCATCTCTTAGGCATCTCTTACCTCCATGGGGTAACTTCTGTGGCCATGGCAGGCACTAGGTGTGGGTCGGGACACCTGGGACACACCTCTGCAGAAAGCAATGGTGGGGCACACGCAAAACAGCAGAAATCATTGCTGGATTGCTGCTTATTCCTGCCGATGAAAGAAAATACGCGTTTACTAAATGACTAAATATTTGCCAAGAGGACCGCAACATCCTGGGTGAAACCTGAACAGGAGGCAGAAGTCTCTGTCCCTTTCATTAATTGCCCTAAGAGTGGTGCTTGTCTGCTCTTATGAACCGAACTGCTGCAGTTGAGTGTGTTGGGTGTTTGTAGCCTCTTAAGTTATTAAAACACTCTGAATGCAGATTGACTTCTTTTGCTCAATATACTGTAACCGCCTTGACCTGTGAGCCCTTTGGTAAACACACGGGAGGGCAGCCTGCCTTTTTTGTAACTTGTGGGACTAAATCCATGCCCTCCGTTGAATGCTTCTGAAAAAACTTTTTGCCTAGCCCTTCTGGGGATGGTGCAGCACACAGCTGCCCACTTCTGTACCGGCAGCCCACTGGGGCGACAGCTTCTCGTCCACCCTTTCACCTGCTGGAGGAAGCTAACGCTGTCCTCATGCTGTTGATGTAGCGGTACCAGGTCTTTCCTGTCTCACCTTGCAATGGAGCTAAAGCTGCTGGTCTAAACATGTGGATTTTTTTCTCTATTTTGTAGGGCTGCAGTTTAAACTGAAATTTAGTAGAAATTGCCCTAATGGCATAACTGAGGCCTCATCTACACTTGAAAATCACACTCATGTGTTGGTCATGAAATTTATTTTTACCGGTATGGCAGTGTTACAACAGATTCCCACATGGACAGAGTTGCATCACTCTGAGGACCCCATACTACATTCACGCGTTCTTGTTTCTGTGCAGGAGTGAGCTAAATAGTCACAAGAAATTGTATTACATCCTGAATGCCCTACATGAAAATATTACAAAGGGTTGGGTCAAGCAGTGTAATGGTACTGTATCACTGTAGTTAAAGGTAGGACTTCTGTGTGTGGACAAGCCCTGTGAAAAGATTAACCTAGAGAAAGTTAATAAAAAGTGCTGTTCTAAATTATTCATGAATCCATTTGTAATGCGCTTGCCGGGAGGCTTTTGTTTTTCTCAAACTCTTATTTATTAAAATCTGACAAGAATATCGGGTTTTGTTCAATAATAAATCTAAGCCTATGTGAGGTTGGTGATATCCTCATGTAGTAATACAGAATCAAAATGAAGTTACATGGCAGGGGTGAATATGTTATTTATTTGGGAAGAATAGCTTATTGTTCAGGAGAATTTTACCTTTTTCTTGCCATTTCGGAACAAGTAAAAAAAAAAAAAAATTCTAGTTGGAAGATATCCTCTTGGTTTGTGACCGAGGCCTTGATTCTGCAAAGGATTTTAAATATGTTAAAACTTAGTTAAGCATATTTCTGGTGGCTTTGCAGGTTCTGGACCTGTGCTTGCTAAATAAAATAGCTCAGACGATCTTGTTTCACTCTTAGCTGTTCTTGTCCTTCTTCCTTAACTTCAGGGGAAGATCATGGAAGTCGTGCTCCTAGCCTGTGGATTTTGACTTCCAAAGCATGTCCATATGCACCCTCTTCTTCTTGTGTCCCAGAAAAGGTTAGAAAGATTATGTACATAAAGTAGGAGAATGGAAAAAAGCCAGGGAGAGAGCTTTTACTGTCTGGGATACAATAAAAGATGGTAGTCTGTGTGCGCTTTACAGCAGTCATTCCTTAAAAGCAGGCAGAACTTTGCTTAAAAAGCAATTTAAGATATTTTTTCAGTATTTTCAGTTCATTAATTTTAGGAGATTTTTTTCCCTTCTCTTCTTTGTCCTTCTCTGCCCTTATTTATAACTGGATAAGGAAGGGAAAAACAGGTGCCTATAGATAGAAAGTTAAAGAAGAGTAAATAAAAAAGAAAGAGCTTAGCTGTGGAAGCAGAACTGGGAGTTTGGGTGACTGGTCTGAGTTGGAGGATGATGAATAGATTTGTTTGCATAAACTTGGCTTGTGAGTCACTTTCTCATAAAAGCAACTTGAGTAGGAGATGCTCCTGTCCCAAATTTTAGTCTTGAATGCTTTCAAGCACAAAGTGTACTATGATATAAGGGCTCTGACTGTGAGTACTGTCCTGTTATTCCAGTGGACCAGAGCTGGAGCTCTGCAACTTCCCAAGTTTGAAATAAACTAGAAATTTCTCCCACACATACCCCCACATGTGCTTTGCATGATGTATCATGTAGTGCCTCTTGGCAGTCAGGGTTAAGCTGTCTGGGTAGACATAATCAGCTTCTGATTCAGATTTGGAATCTGGTGTTAGGGATTTGGTCCCTATGAAAAGCTGTCTGTTGGAGGACCATCAGTCACTAACCATTAAATGAGACAAGAAACTTGGTAAACTTGGAGAGGAGAAGAGAAAAGCAAGGTGTGAGTGTGAGAGGTCAGCATTCATGGTTGATCATGCTGGGTAGGTTTGGAGCAGCACAGGTCTTCGCCTTGGGAGCTTGCTTTGCCTCTCTAATGCCAGAGGAATTGTACAAGTTGTACATGGGGAAGGGGCATGTAGGGCGTTATCCTCTTTTGCCAAAGACTGTGATCAAAGCACTCTTTGAAATGAGGCCTCAGCTCTTTCTTAGGCACCTCTTAGGATTCTGAAGAAAAGTTTGACCATTAACAGACAGCTACTTTGCTGTGGTTTAGCAAACTGGGAGAGGTGAAAAAGGTTTATTTTAATAGAACATACAACCTGTATCTAAGGTTCAAGTGGAGCCTGTGGGTTGGATCTGGGAAATAACAGTTCCCTCTTGAAACCCACCAGAGAAGAAAAGAAGATCTCTTCCTTCCTGAAGAAAATTATTTTCTTGTTCTTCTCTGCCATTTGTTTGTTATGAGTTTTGGTGGTACGGGGTTCAAGGTGGACTGTGAAACCCTGCTTTGGAATCAAGATATTTGTCTGACTTGTTTGCCCCTGCTGAAATCAGTGCTGCTGCAGCTTCATTGCCATGGGAACCTCCATGGGAACTAAATTTAATTCAGCCCAGGGTTTGCTTGTCTGTTCTGTTGCTGCAATGTAGACAGGTGATAAGCAATGTATTGATACTAAACTATATCCCCAAAATGATTAGGCATTGATATTACCATGGTATTGCAGCATCTGTGGTATTGCTCTTGTGTTCTGCTCTGAACTGCCCTCCTGTGCCTGCCTCCAGCATCCTCTTCCTCTCTCCTGGCAGAGCAATGGCAGTGCCGCCTGCATAGTCTTTCTGGTCCAGCAATTGGCAAAGGTAGGGACTGCAGGCAACCTCTGCTTGCTGGTGGTACTCCTTTCTCCCCCTGCAAAGCAGCCAAGCACGGAGCGCCCATGGGCCTTGGGGGGGAATGCTGCTGGAGAAGGGAGCTCTGCATCCCTAGGAGTTGTGGGTTGGGGTGGGTCCCAGTACCTCTGCAGCATCCACAATAGTGTGAAGTCCCCCAAGGACAGACCCTGGCTCCAAAGATCAGATTAAACTGGAAGTGGGAGATAGAGGGTGTACGAGCAGAGAGTGAGAGACCCCTGTCACCCAGTCTTCTTCTAAAGTTTTATTAATTTCTTTATACTTGGTGAACCTTTTTTTTTTCTTTTTTGTTTCTTTTTTTTTCCTCATTGATGCAACGTAAGGTTCAGATGGTATCTGTTAGATGGTTGTGTTTGTGGTAATGCAGAGCCTGGGGTCTGTGCTAGTTTCAGTGCTAGTAGAAGTGGTGGAAATGTGCCTTTACTGCAGCCACGCTGGGGGGACTTCTGGAAAGGCTCTGTGTAGACGGGGCTTTGCCATGCAAAGACATTTCATGTGGCTGACTGCGGGATAATCGATTTTGTAGGTCTTTCATGATTGTTTGCATTGTTGGTTACTAATGTTTTGCCCCTCTGTAGATTGGTTTAGTGGTACTACATCACTTTGTACAGAATTCACAGTGAGCCATAGAGTGTGTAAACCTGTATGTTAAAATGTTCGCTGAGTCTTGATTAGTCAGTAAAAGGTTTTAAGCTGTTTCTTTTAAATTCCAGGACCATGCATCTTAATTTAATAGTTGAGAGAGATGGGGAAAGATACTGATTTACCCAAGGGAATATATTTTCTGTGATATTTATTCATGGCAAGTGTTTTCAAGCCAGCAGAGGTATTTTAGGGCAGGTGACGGTTCTCTGGTTGACATTATCTGCTAAAATGACTCTCTACTTTCTTTCTTTGTAGGTACTACATTGGTCGCCAGATGTTTGTGGTGGTCTCCACACCAGAGATGATCAAGCAAATCTTAGTGACAGACTTCAGTAACTTCACCAACAGAACTGTAAGTAGATAGAAAGGTTGGCTTTGTGGACGGAGGTGGTAGTACTGTTAATTTGAGGTCAGACCAAAAGTGACTGCAAGGGAGCTGGAAATAGAGAGGGGGAAAGAAGTACAGCATGGTTCGATGAAACTTGAAGGTATATAAACTCACTATATACATTTCAGTCAAAGACTCCTCTTACCAGGATACTCTGAGGATGAAAGAGAATGTCCTTAAGAGAGATACAATGCCCTTGTGACTGAGGCACCAGATGGATGCTGAAGAGAGAGGCTTTCAATATCCAGTTTTGCCACTGACCTCCTGTGAAATCCTGGGAAAATCACTTGCTAGCTCTCTTCTTTGTTCTCAGTCTGTAACATGGGGACAGCATGATTTGCTTTCTCCCACCCATGGTTTGTTTTGTGGTTTTAGACATTCTAAGGCAGGAGCAGGCTGCTTGGGACAGGGACATGCCTCCTGCAGCTAACGTGTTGCTTTGTCATACTTACCACTCTGACAATAACAAATAGCAAAGAATGAATTTGGGGTTAGCAAGAACTTATGCATATGCTGTTGGTTACTTATTTTACTTATCTGTATACACAAATATATTAAAAAGCTCGTTTTCAAGTACTGGTTAGAACAATTAATGAGGGGGGAATGGCCAGAGGGATAGTAAAGATTTCCAGCAGTTTCTCAGCATTTTACAAGGAAATACTGTCACTGTGACCGCACGCTGCCTCAGTGCCATCCATCCCCTGCTTCCTCCTGGCCCCTTTGTATGCTCAAATCTGCTCAGATAAACTCACATGTATTCAGGAGGGTTGTTTGTGCCCTCAGGGAAAATTTCATCTCTGATCAGCTGTCTGTCTCCTCTGCCCCTCTGATCCTCTGTGCAACCAGACAGTCTGTTTGCAGGCTGCTTGTCTCCTTTGCTTGCTTCTTTTGGTACATGAGGTTCATCTTGTGACTACCTGTATCTTACTTAATAACCACTTGTACCAGTCGCTCTCTGTTCTGCCTATAACTCACATCTAAATGGAAGAATCCCAGTGTGCAAGCTTCTTAGGCTGAAGTTGTGTGTGGCAAGGGTCTTTTCCCCATTTTCTCTATATTTGAAGGAATTTCCCACCCCTTCCCTTCTTCCACCCCCAAGCAGGAACCCTATTTCTTCCTGTCTATAACTTTCCCATGCTTTTCTTCTGTATATTTGATAGGAATAGACTACCCACTGTTCATAGCAGTAGCTGGTGCCCAAATAACACCTCCCTGAAATTAGAGAGCATTCCTTTGAGGGTACATTCAGATATTCATTCTGCTCTTAATTTTAGTCAGCCTTGTCTTTTGAATATATCTGTCTGTGCATTGTCACCCTTCTTATTTGGCGAAATTTTTCTTTCTCTTCAGGCTTTTATGGTCAGAGGTTTATCTCTCTTCTTGTACATCCATCTGTCATGGTCTGTAACATTTGTGTTCCTTTCTAAAATTCAGGTAGGTCAGGTCACTACAGCCAGTCTCTTTCTCTCTCTCCCTTTTTTTCTTCATCAGGGATCTGTTAGGTATAGCTGTCTGTGTAGGTTCATATCTTACCCTTATCACTTGCCTGTCCCCTGAACCATTTGTGGCTTTTCTGTACAGCATCCTGCTTTATGGATAAGGAACTGAGGCACAGACTGAGTGACATCCCCGCCACTAACCAGAAAGCCTGTGGCAGATGAGAAAATTTAACTCCTAGCCCTCTCTTTAACAAAATGAACAGTTTTCCCCCTGTGCACTGTTGCTATTTCTGGCTTGCTTAATGCCCATGAGTCTAATTCAAATGAACTTGCTTCATCTTATGTGCTTTCATCTGCTTGTTCCATGGTCTTCTCACACAGCTGCAATATTTGAGTGTTGTTATTTCTCACTTTCCACTGTTCCCCCTGTTCCAGCCATTGCTTTTCACCTACTGAAGATAAGCAGCCTTCTGTTTCTGGGTCCTTCCACATCTAACCTGGGGATCTTTTTCCCCTCTTGAATTTTCACACTGAAAGTTGTCCCTCCTCTTTAATTCACAATCAGCTCTCTCCGTGAAGTGTTCGGCTATCCTGTACACTAACGATTCGATACGAAAATAAATAATGCTGGATGGTATGTAATGAAGGCCAATGGAATTTATTAAGATGTGATTTTGGTTGTATGTGAATAATGGTTGAAAGGTGAGAGTGAGAAAAGCACTTTCCAAGTAATAGAATTCTTTCTTCTCATATTGACTGAATAAATGTCATTTTAAGACTTTTAATAGGGTTGCTTCTGTTTGTATATTTTAAAATTACTCAAAGCAAGCTCCTCTACTTTAAGTGAGGGTTTCTATTTGCCGGTGGAGAATTCAAAATGCAATATAGATCCCCCTGCCTTATTTTACCCATTCCTTCCCCAAATGGTCTACTGATGAGTGGTTATAGGATTGACTTTGGAGTCAGTGCTGTTCACAAAGCTAGGCTAATATCTTTCAGAACAGACATGGCACATGCTTATTATTTCAACACAAAGCCTTTTTTTTAGCTTAGGAGTGTCAGTCTTTAAGGATGAGAAGGATGGGAAAGGGGGTGAGACCACTGGGTTTGAACAGGCCTTGGGAAAAGCCACCATGCTTTGCTTTTCTTCCCCACCCCCCCAAATACATTTCCAAAATAAAGATTTGTACCTCATCCACCAGTGGTGAAATTGAGTTATCTAACGCAGAATGCCACAATGAGAGATTATTCACCACGCTCTGTAGCAGTTGTAGCAATCATATGTTAACAAAGCGTCACTAAGTTGCAGGCTGTGCAGGACTAGTTCTAAAAGCTAAGGGTATTAGGGGGTAGAAAAAGTTTATATTCCATGTTTATTTTGCTGTTCTTTCAATTAATCTTTATATATATATATATTAGAGTAAGAGACAATGGGAAATAGAACTTGTAAAGGGTTGCAAACAGTGGATGATGTATTTGATAGAAGTGGATAAGATGATGATTCAGTGAACTCCGAGCTTTTATTAAAGCTGTCTATAATATGATGTCATGCCTTTGAGCTTGCTGGGAAGTCGTCAGAAGACCTTTATGGAATCAAGGTGGTTTTAATCTGCTGAGAGGACTCTTTTGGAAGCATCTTGTGTCCTGTCTCCACATCCAGAGAGACCTGTACCACCTGTACACTGCTCTCACATTGAACGTATCTGCTCACTTATTATATGGACAAAGTAGATTTTGCATGTAAATGGAAGCCAAACTCCTGTTCATTTTATGCAATTATGTTTCTCTTTGATATTATACATTTCACATCTTTACTATGAATATCTTTCAAATATTGCTGTAAAAAGCCTTTTAGGTTCCTTTGCCCTCTTCTGTTGTTTCTGAGTTACTGATTAGTAATTCTTGCGACAGTAGTGTATGGTGACTACAGATCAAATCTGCATTAAGGTTCACTTCCTTTTAGAACAAGCGACCAAGTCTAGCATGCAGGGTGTTATTCCCCTGTAGGCGTGGGGTGTATTTATCGTTAACTCTATAATCACAAGAAGGCAATAATGACATTCTACTTTCCCACTTAATTTTGACTTGATTAAGGTGAGCATTGTAGCCATTTAAAAACAAAAATGTCTACTGTAATGTACCTTCATACTTGAGGCATATGAAGTCTTTTCCCTATGTTTTTAATTATAGTTGAAGAAGAAAAGATGAAAATTAGCTTATAGACCTTCTGCCAAAAAATATGGAATTGATTTTAATTTAGGTTAACCATGGAAACCTCAGCCAGCATTCTAGGCAGGGCTGTGCTGCAGTAAATTATACCTTTTTCTTACAACTATGGTAAGTTGTCTCTTGAATAGAAGTTTTCTTTTAAGAGCACTAAGACCGTTTTTAGCTGCATTACTGTGTTGTGAGTGAGATAGGTTTATGATGTTTGTTGCATTCTGCCAGGTGGGATAATGATACATAATCTGTTTTCAGATTGTATTTAATTTCTGCATTGAAAATTTGTTTTTGAATTAGTACTTGAGAATCATTAAACCGTACTTCTAAAAATGTAGGAGCAGAATGTTAAGATGGAGCAATGTGAAGAGAGATATTACCTGGTACGTAACTTAAATGATTCAGAAGTTGCAGGCCAAAGTATTTGCTAAAAATGTGGATCAGTGAGCCCAAAGGCAAAGGTAAGTACTGGCTAGTCAAGGTTTGTCATCACTGTTTTCTCATCAGGAGCTTTGCTGCTACAGTGGAAAAAGTAACAATGGATTAACAACAAATAATAATGAAGTGGTAAAAATAATGTTGTGGTTTAACCCAGCAGGCTGCTAAACACCACACAGCCGTTCGCTCACTGCCCCCCACTCAGTGGGATGGGAGAGAGAATAGGGGAAAAAAGAGTAAAATTCGTGGGTTGAGGGAAAGGCAGTTTAGTAGGACAGAAAAGGAAGGGAAAATAATAATAATAACAATAATGATAAAAGAATATACAAAATAAGTGATGGACAACGCAATTGCTCACCACCCGCCGACTGATGCCCAGCCAGTTCCTGAGCAGTGGTCACCGCCCCCCGGCCAACTCCACCCAGTTTATGTACTGAGCATGACGTCATATGGTATGGGACATCCCTTTGGGCAGTTTGGGCCAGCTGTCCTGGCTGTGCCCCCTCCCAGCTTCTCACTGGCAGGGCATGAGAAGCTGAAAAGTCCTTGACTGGTGTAAGCACTGCTTAGCAACAACTAAAACATCGGTGTGTTATCAACATTATTCTCATCCTAAATCCAAAACACAGCACTGTACCAGCTACTAGGAAGAAAATTAACTCTATCCCAGCTGACACCAGGACAAGTAAGAACGAAAAAGTAGCATGGAAGTTGATATAACATGGCAGTATGAATTCCTTGTATCCTCTTGAAGGAAAAGACAGTTGCCCGAGCTGCTTTTCTTCTTGCTTCTGTCTGTCCTTCCCCTTCCCCTCCTCCTAGTTCATCTGTGTGGGACATGATTATTCTTTTCACATGTAGAATCTG